TGTTTTATATGAAGGTTAAGTTCCTATTAAAATGAGTAAAGCAAGATAGAATCTCATCTTGTATGTTTCTGTAATAAAAGACTACCAGTACAATACTGTTAATATCAATCAATCTGTGAGCTGCCTGAGGTGTGTGTTCCCTCCAAAGATGCAAATCACATCCCACCCACACCTTCTTACCATGTGCACTGCTTGTATCTTCCTATATATATTCCTCAAAGTGTCCAAAATGTTAGAGGAGCTGGAGGCTTTCTAGGGTTATTACCATTTCTTGGGTACCCACACAGCACTTGGACTAGCTATCTGTCATCCCTAGCTCTCAGTACATGCCAGGTCAATCTCCTTTTTCCAATCATACATTTCCTAGGTGACATCTTTATGTTACTTCTTGTACACAAATCATCACTGAGAATATGATCCAGCCTGCTTATGCCCACCATACCTCTTTCTATTGTCCTTTGGGTGACCCGCAATTTTGATTCATCGCAGATAGTGATGTTTCATGATTTGCAGCCAAGAGAATACTGGTATTAAAAATGTGGGCTTTTGTTTCATGAAGCAGCTTGGGATCCATGAAAGCACCATGCAGTTTCTCAAATACAATCCAACCTTCTCTCTTCTTTTTATTCATGTATGGATCAAGCTCCTTGCTCACTTACAATTCTTGTATAGAGTATGCATGGGGCAGCTAGGTGGTGCAGTGGATAGAGTGTCAGGCCTGGAGTCAGGAAGACTCATCTTCCTGAGTTCAAATACGATCTCAAACACTTGCTAGCTGTGTGACCTGGGTAAGTCACTTAACCTTGTTTGACTCAGTTTCCTCATCTGTAAAATGAGCTGGAGAATGAAATGGCAAACCACCCCAGTATCTTTGCCTTGAAAACCCCAAATGGGGTCACAAAGAGTCAGACGTGATTGAAAAATGACTGACAACATAAAATATGCATACTGATGGATAACTTGATGGTTGTCCATTTACCTTGAAATAGTCTTCACAGTAAGTATTCTTCATTGCCTTGGATTTTACCTGTGAGAATTGTTAGGCTAAAATTTTCTGAGTTGTTATAGAATTCATTAATGAGGCTTGAGGAACTGTAGAATTTTACATGCAAACAGTCACATCCTGAGGCCTTCCCCACCTATGGAGAATATCTCTTATATGTGGACTTCGAAGTGGACCTTCTCCATGATAGTAGTAAGTATTTTTTGTGGAAGACTGGATTTGGAGTCCATGTTTTATGCCTCACTCATTAGGGCGTCTTGGGGGCAGAGACTATTTCTGTTTTGTATCTCTAGCACTAAACAAAGTACCCGGCATGTGATAGGCCCTCAATAAAGGCTTGTTGATTATTGACAGTCTGATAATCATCCAACAAAATTTGTTTCTATTGTTGTCTCTACTAAGGAATCTTATATGATTGTAACACAAGCACGAGACATTTTGCTGAAGGAGAGCTTTTAAGCTTGCCTTTTACTCTATTATATCAAATACTTTTTTATAATCTGCAAGTACATAAACACAGAGGATGGAAGCTAGAAGGTTTGCAAAGCCCTAGATACATCTTCACATCTGATCCTCACAACCACCCTGTGAGGTAAATACTACAGGTATCCTCATTTTACAGATGAGGAAACTAAGGTTCAGAGAAGTGTCTCTGATCTCAGAGAGGTCAAGTAACTTGCCCATAGTCACCCAGCCAACAAATATCAAAGGTGGAATGCCAGCCCAGTTTTCCTAACTCAAAGTCCAGCATCTATTTCACTGTGACTAATGGGATGCCTAATGATGGTGGCACAGATGATTCTGAGCAACATGACTTGGGCAAACTATTCTGCCAGTATCTTATCTTTATTCTAGTTCCATTTCCTCATCTCCCAGCCCACACTCTGTGGGAGAGCAACAAGGATCTGCACTTAATGATGATGGTGATGGTAAATTGCTTATTATTAATAAGGGGATGTGTGTTGGTCATTGTCCTAATGGCTGACTGCTGTCTTACCTCATGGCTGAGGCCAGGAAGCTACTGATCATTAAGGGAAGGCTAAGGACGACAGAATCATGTGAGACTTGTTTCTACAAAGAAGGTTCCGTCATGAGGTGTCAACCAGTTTAAAGAAGAAAAGAGATGAGGGGAGAAGGTCTAAAGACAGAAAAATAGCTATTTTACTGGTCATAGAGAGTGGGCTGAAGATGACTGAGGGCTGGTGAAGGTTGACACTGTGGGACATGATTTGCTGGACAAGAGACACCAGTGTTGCAGCTTATACTCAACAAACCAGGCTTCTAGAGTAAGGAGAATTCCAGAAGATCAATACTACCTGGAGGTAGCTGCCAGAACCAGAGCAAATCCCTGTACTAAAAGGGCTCTGAAGAGGTGGTGTGTGCCAAATAATAGCTTTTGGCCTGGTAACCATTTCTAGATGGTCAAATACAGTGTCAGCAGGAACCTTTCCTCAAATTCTCCCAATGCCTTCCTAAATGCAATGAGATCATCCTAATATGCCAACACTTCCAAATGCTTCCCATGAGATGCTTAAAAGTGGCAAAGGCCATAAAAATCCCTTGGGTAGGGCTGAATTTGGTAGAATTCCACGAGATAGATGAAGCCCATCTTTTCCTTACCTTCCTCTGAGTTGGAGAGCTCATAGTACCCTCTATGCAAGTCCAACAACGAAAACCAATGGCTGTCCAGAACGTCTTGTATTTTTTGGGGGTGGGGTGGGGTGAGGCAATCAGGGTTAAGTGACTTGCCCGAGGTCACACAACTACTAAGTGTCAAGTGTCTGAGGCCAGATTGAACTCAGGTCCTCCTGACTCCAAGGCCAGAGCTTTATCCACTGCGCCACCTAGCTGCCCCTAGAACATCTCATACTTTTGCTTTGGAGAACTGATTTATTTCGATTTTCTTACTCAGAGTTCAATTGTCCCTACATATTAGGATCTGCCCAGTTTTCTCCTATTCTACCATAAAGTATAAGTCATAGAGACTATGAGACTCCACAATAACACCATTCATTTCCTTTGATTCCTAAGATCCTCCATTTCTGCAAGGGCAATTTTATGAGACCATCCTCAAAAATGACAGGCATTGCTTAAATGGATTTTGTGCATTTCTCCTTCTGTACATCCCACATCCCACCCATGCTGTGAGATCACTTGGCTCTTATGCTGAATTTCTTCCTCAGACAATCCTCCCACTCTTCAGTCTCTAGAAAGCCTCCAAAGCCAAACTTCTCATCATCCACTCTAGAGGTGGAGGGTTGGGTGTGTCTTTAATTCTTGCCAACACTCTCCTTCTTCTTCCCTAAACTTCTATGTGGAAGGCTTGGACTGTTAGGGTGTTCAGACATTGGGCTCTGACTCATTGCCTGCAATTCTCTTACCAGTGATTTGAACAGGCTAGAATTAGTCCCAATCAGAAATAAGACTTTGGAGATGTTTGCGGGGCTATGTTAAGGGTAGGTTATCTTGTCATACCTCTTCCCTGAGGCTGCCTTATTGATCCTGTGCCTGCTAATGAAATCTCTACATCCAGGAACAAGTTACGCTGAATTCTGAAATCCTGGGGTTTCCCTTATGAAAGGTAGACCCTTTGCTTCAGCCATTATGGACAACTGATATAGCACGTGGAAGGCATTTTTCTATTGTAAATCTGTACTGGACGGGTCTCCTTGGGGAAGTGATCATAAGCTACAAAGAATCTAAAGCTAGGAGAGATCTCAGAATCCATATAGTCCAACCCCTTCTTCTTATATTTGAGGAAACTGAGGCCAACTTGCCCAAGGTCACAGAGGAAGTGTCAGAAGAGAGATGTCCTCTGACTCCATGGTGAGTATTTGCTGTCTTGCACCACACAGATTCCCAAGAACATGGGCAAATACTCATGCCCAAGATCACAGATTTAGAGGTAGAAAAGACCGTAGAGGTCATCTAGCCCAACCCCTTTATTTTACAAATAAGGAAACTGAGGCCCAAGAAAGTTAAGTGACTTGCCCAAAGACATATAGGGAGTGTCAGAAGTGAGATTGCAACCAAAGTTCTCTGACTTCATGGTCACCGTTTGCTTGATTGTACCATATGGATTGGGCAGCTAAGTTGCACAGTAGATTGAGTGCCTGGCCTGGAGTCAGGAAGATGAGTCTTACTGAGTTCAAAGATGGCCTCAGACACTTATAGCTGTGTGACCCTGGGCAAGTCATTTAACCCTGATTGCCTCAGTGTCCTCATCTGTCAAAGGAACTGGAAAGGGAAATGGCAAACCACTCCAGCATCAGTGCCAAGAAAACCCCAAAAGGGGTCACAAAGAGTCAGACACAATCCAACAATAACAACAACAACAACAACAAGAGTTCCTTTCCAGCTCTAACTCCTGTGATCTCATTCTATCAAAGTACAAACTCCTTGGGAGCAAAGACTGTGTATTATTGTCTTTATAACACTCTAAGTACCTGCAACTATTTTTTTTTCACATAGTAGACAATTAAGAAATGTTAATGAACTGACCTGGACGTCATACAAGTGCAGTGTCCAGCCAGGTATCACAGTGAATATAGCACTGGGCCTGGAGTCAGGAAGACTTGAGATCCCATCTGGCCTTAGACACTTACTAGCTGTATGACCCTGGGCAAGTCATTTAATCCCCGTTTGCCTCCAATTCTTCGTGTATAAAACAGGAATAACAATAACACCTACTTTCCCCGCTGTTGTGAGGATTAAATGAGAAAATAGTCGTAAATCATTTAGCACAGTGCCTGGCACATACTAAGTGCTATATAAATGTTAGCTGTTCGCTATCATTGCTCGTTAAATAGATATTTCTACCTCACTGAATACCTGTGTGCAATCATCAAGAAAAGAATGGATGAAAAATGCTACCAGCTCCATAGAGCACGTTAAAAACTGTGCATCCCAGAGGTACCATTTCCTAATAGCAAAGCTCTGAATGGCACGTAGCAAGAAAAGAAAAGAAAAACGTCCACATAAATAAAAGCTATGGGAGTCTGAGGGGAAAGGCTGCGTGACTAGTCTGAATTTATTTCAGTTTGAAAGCTAAATTTCCTAGAAACTCATTGAATTATCTGATAATTCTTTGCTTCCTCTCTAGCCAACAAAACTGCTGATGATTTCATAAAATAAACAGGGGAACTTAAGGCATACTTGAATTCCATTCTGGAACAGGGATGGGAAATGTGACAGCCAACGAAAGGCTGTTTAAATGGAATGTTGTCTGTTCACCTCATCAGACTGCTCATTGCCTTAGGAGTCATCAGATCCAAAGTGCTGGGGAGATTAGGACCATTTATTAACCCTTGGGGCTGTCACCCCTGAGAAATGGAGTGCTAAAAGGCCTAACAGCATCTGTAGTGAGTGGCTGCTGAGTGTAGGGGAAAGGGAAGAAGGGAAGAACAAGAAAGATAGAGAGGCAAGGGAGAAACTCCCAGTCTACACAAGCACCATGATCTCCTCCAGGGGTTTTCTCTTCAAGTTGGGAACTGTGGCATCCTTCCTGGGATACCCAACAGGGAGGAGCACCAGCAACTTTTCATTGGCAGGGCGGTCCAGCAATGTCCTCAGGCGAGGCCCGCAGTTGAGAGGGGTAGTTGTGACAGTCACAAGGCCTGCATTCTAAAAGAAGAGAAGCCACATGCTCAAGTCAGCAGGGAAAGCCTCTCTTCTGGGGTCCTTTCAAATCTTGACTTTGGGGGGCAGTTAGGTGGTGCAGCGGACAAAGCACTGGCTCTGGATTCAGGGGACCTGAGTTCAAATCCGGCCTCAGACACATAACACTTACTAGCTGTGTGACCCTGGGCAAGTCACTTAACCCCCATTTCCCAACAACAACCAAAAAAAAAAATCTTGACTTGGGATCTTCAAGTCTTGGATTTTTTAATCTAGTGTCTATCATTCCCCAGAAGTTACAGGGCAAAAAAAAAAAAAGACTGAAGGTTGCCAGCTGTAGATAATTAGTTCCTTCTCTATCCCCAGACCCCAGCTACACACTTCCTACACATGACAGGCTCAAAAATGTAGAACTTTAGAGATGGAAGGGACCTTGGAAGACAATGAGTCTAATCCCTCATTTTACAGATAGGGAAACTGAGGTACAAAGAGGTTAAGTGACTTGCCCCTAGGATTACATGGTTAATAACTATCTGAGGTGGTATTTGAACCCAGCTGTTACCACTTTATATTTTGTAGGAATGGAAAAGCTAGTTTTATTTGATAATTTTACCTAAGAAAAAGAAAGGTATAATTTTCCAGAGATGGATGTTTGGTAAGTCCAGCTCAGATGAAAGAAATGATGACATTGCCATATGGCTAAAATCATATGTTTGTCTAAAATTATCTGGTCTTAACTATATATCCAACAGGATCAGACCGACCTCGTGGCCACCTGAAAATGCTGAAGTTCAATGACAGATGGAGTCACTGAGATGCTGTTATCCCATGCAGCTCCAAAGCCTATAGGCAGTTAATACACAGTTTGTCCAGGTGAGGGCTGTCTGGAACCATTTTTTCCTCTTTCGTTCCCTCATAAATCCTGGTTGCCATGTGTAGGAAAGGGTGAGAGTAGGACCATTCATAACTGGACTTGTTGAAAGCTAGAGGGCAGCAAATTCAACAGCAAAATGAAATGTGGAGAGGAAGAAAGTAGCTGTGGTCGCTGGATTCTAATGCAACTCTAGGTCAACAGAAGATATATTAAGGCTTGAGCCACCATGACCTTCAGGGGTCTGTGAAGGACTGATGATTGAAGGTCTACCTGTAGACCAAGGAAGCAGAATAACTCTTATATTGCTCTATTAGAGTCAGGCGTGGGGTGCAAAGCTGTGTTAGAAAACATGGAAATGGCTAATTTGGAACTTTTTTGAAAAGAATAAAATACACGAGTCTCTCTTATATTATCATGGCATGGTGGGAAGGGTCCTAGATTACAGTCTGAATCCCAGCTCGGAGATTCATTACCTGGATGACATTAAGAAAGGCACTTAATTCTCTGGGCCTCAGTTTTCTCATTTTTAAAATAAAGGGATTGGATTTGATGACCTTCATCCAAGGTCCATTATAGCTTGAAATGTTATGATGAAAAATTTTATGAACATATTTTTATTTCTAAATCATCTACATTTCACAATATATGTCCTCCCTGCCCTCCCAGAGAGCCAACTTAAGCTTATAACAAAGAATAAAAAAGAGGTTTCAAAAGCAGTTCAGCAAAACTAACCAGCATGTCAACCAAGTTTGGCATTAATACAATGTCAATGCAATAGTCCTCCTCCTCAAAGAACAGAGGAAGGTCCATTCTTATGTGTCTTCTTTGAGGCCATCCAGTTTGAAAGCTTTGATGATGATATTAGAGGAAATACTGGGGGCAGGATGAAGACAGAAATGGTAGATGGGCTCCTTGGGTTGGCTGGTATGACAAAGTACCATAGTGAGAAAATCCCAGCTAGATTTCTGATTCATTCTGTTCCAAGAATCACCAAGTTCGATTGTGCATATGATTTAAAAAACATCCTTCTAACTGCAATATAACTCCCACTAATCTCTCCAGCTATGATCTCTTACAGAACCCCTTTACTGTGATCACTTGAAAAGATCCATCCAATCATTTAGTCTGATCCAATGACAATAATGAATCCAGGTATGAGGGGAAGGAAGAACTTCAATTAAACTCCAGAGTTCTTCAGGCATGTCTACCAGAGAGGCTGAAGGATTTGTTTGGGTCTCCCTTGATGCTAGTGTGCCTCCTTCCTGAGATGACCACCAATTTACCCTGAATATACTTTGCATGTACACAGTCATTTGAATGTCATTTCCCCATCAAAACGTCCGCCCTGAGAACTGGAACCATATTGTTATCTTTCTTTGCATTCCCAGCTCAGGATAGTGGCCGGTATATACTAAGTACCTAATAGACATTTATTGACTGACACAAACTGCTATAATTTCTCTGATGTAGTAACTAATCTGGAAATGACTTGTTACCAAAAATTCCCAGCTATGTTTTTGGGTCATGACAATCACCAAAGCAATTTTTCTGAATATATTTTCTACTTGAGCTACCTTGCTTAGAAATGCAGAGACAGGATTTCTTTTTTTAATGAATAAAACACTGGCAAATCTCTATAGAGTCTGAAGTTCAGTAGGAATTTTTAAGTAAAGCCTTCAATTGTATCCCCAGAAGACCTCTTCTTTTCCACCACCAAATACTGTATCTCCCCTTTATTGGCCCACTGGGTTAATAACATACCTGCAGGGCAGCAAGGAGAATGCCACATGCAATGGAAACACTGATCTCATTGTAGTAATGAGTCTTTTTTCTGCCACTTGAAGTTATGCCATAGATTTTTTTGAAAATGAGAATCAGAAAAGGTGCTGTGTCCAGGTATTCTTTGATCCAGTTGGTTCTAAAAGGAAAAAGTGTTTTTTTTATTCTTTTATTATCCTCAAAAGATCATTCAATTAAAATTTTAGAAATAGATTTACTAGGGGCAGCAAGGTGGTACAGCAGATAGAGCACTGGCCTTGGAGTCAGGAGGACCTGAGTTCAGATTTGACCTCAGACACTTGACACTTACTAGCTGTGTAACCCTGGGCAAGTCACTTAGCCCCACTGCCTAGCCAAAAAAGCAAAAAAAAAAATTACTTTTTGTTTTGTCTGTTCAGGTACAAAAGGATAAAAGAAACAAAGGCCCTAGATGATTGTTTTTCTATTTCTCATATTATAATAATATAAAAACTCTACTTCTCAGATATTCCCTTCTTTGGTTACTGCCACCACTCTTTATGTTCTTTTACCTCTGCCCAATATTGATAATATAGCAGATTGTTCAAAGGAAAATTGTCCAGTGTAATCTTAGTGCCTTTGAGGATTTTCTGTTACAGCATATCTTATAGTCTCTGCCTGTTAAAACCTTATCCATCCTTCACGATCTAGCCCCCAAACCACCTCCTCCATAGAGCCTTAACTGATAATCTCAGCCAGAAACATTCCTTCCTAATCCCATTTTGCTAAGTCAGTTTCAATAGCAAGCAAGAGGCAAGCAAGCCTTATTTAGGACCAAACTCTAGTTTGGTCAGTCATTTTTCAGTGATGTCTGATTCTTTGTGACCCTATGTGGGGTATTTTCTTAGCAAAGTGCTTTGCCATTTCCTCCTCTGGCTCATTCTACAGATGAGGAAACTGAGGCAAACAGGGTTAAGTGACTTGCCCAGGGTCACACAGCTAGGAAATGTCTAAGACCAGATCTGAACTCAGGAATTGAGTCTTCCTGACTTCAAGACTGGCACTCTACCCATTTTGCCACCTAACTGCCCACTGTGCTAAATGCTTTACAAATAGTATCTTTTGATCCTTACAACAACCCTGAGAAGCAGGTGCTGTTATTATACCCATTTTATAGTTAAGGAAACCGATGCCAAAGAGGTTAAGTGACTTGGCCAGGATCATACAGTTAGTAAGTTGCTGCAGCTAGATTTTGTAGGTGCTGTTATCATACCCATTTATTATATTATTATGCACCCGTTATTATACTCAACAGGCTTCCTGACTCCAGGTCCAATAGTCTAAACACTGCACCACCTAGCTGCCAAGGTACAATTTTGTGTTCCTTGCATGGTTGCTTTGTAGACCAAGAAGGCAGCGGTGAGAGATAATGTGCTAGAAATGGAGAAGAGTCCAGTTGAATGCTCAGAGGTAAGAGAATTAGGAGACTAGCTAGTAGCCCAGATTGGCTAGAAGGTAGAGTGCATGAAAGGGAGAAATGGGAGGAAGTAAGGCTATTAAAGAGTCTGGATGTGGGATCTCTGCCTTTAGGAAGTTTATGGGTATCAGCAACTTATGTTAAAAACCACACTACTTCATTCAACTACGTCACTCAAAAGGTAGAAAACATGGGAAAAAATATGAGGTTTTTCTTTTGTGCCTATGCTAAACTTGGCCAGGATATCAGATCTCTTCAGTGGGACTGGAAAAAAAAAATATTACACTTGATTTTCAGCATGTTTTTCACAAATAGGCCAATAATGATGCACACTATTAGCAAGATCATTGACTCATTTCAGAATCTCATAACACAATACAATTTTGTAAGTCTTCTGTTTTTAGAGAGTGTTTTGATGTCTTTAGAGAATAAAGCAAAAGTAGACCCAATTGAGTCAACATGGGCCTCTGGCTTCTGCAGTCCTCTGAGAGCTGAGGGAGGAAAGGCCAGAAGTACTTTGTTTCTAAGCATGGAGAAAGTGAGAAGGTCCCAGTACTTCAAATACTTGTTTCTTGTTCTTATTTCTACTTTCCATTTGGGGAGAAGTAGTTCATTTAAGTCTGTGGTTAGGAATGTATATGGGCTCATTACTGGAGGAAACATACTTGTAAATGGGTAGGAATCGTAGTAACTTCTGGTATGAGGTCAATGTTTAAGGACCTCTGTGCAGAAGAACAAAGCAATTAATTCCCCTGCCAGACACTGTAGAGTGCTTCACATACTTCTGCTCTAGATCCAAAGAAAAGAGAAGTTTAATTGCCCTGAATCACATATGACCAGTTCAAAGGTAGGAAGGAAAATTCCCTAATTCCCTTCCTGACCTACAGGGAGGGAGCACACACTAATTACCACGAATGAAAAGGAAAAGTGAATAAGAATGGATCAACCAAAGAATTCTGAGGGGGACCTAAAGGAAGTGACTGAAAAATGATAATACTTTATGCATTGAAATTAATTTAAATGTAAACATTACTAAATAAGTTTAATTCTTTATATTGATATTTAATGTTAAGTTTTCCCCAAACTTTTAATTTTTAATTTTTATCATCTTTATTTTGATATCTCTCCCTTCTCCCACATCCAATGAATTATCTTCTGTTGCAATAAAAGAAGAAAGGTAGAAAAGAAGGAAGGAAGGAGGAGAGGGACAGAGGTAAGAAGTGAGGGAGAGAGGAGAGGAAGGGAGGGAATAAGGAAGGGAGGTAAGGAGGTGAAGGATGGATGGAAGGAAGGAAAGAAGGAAGGAAAGGAGGGGGAAGGAAGGAAGGGAAAAAGTTTGGAGAGGGAGAGAGGAGAGAAGAAAGAAAGGAAAGAAGGGAAGAAGGAAGGGAAGGAGGAAGGAAAAGGAGGGAGGGAAAGGGGAAAGGAAGCGAAGATAGAGGGAAGGAGAGAGAGAAAGAAAGAGAAAAGAAAGATAATTTAGTAAAACTAACCAACACACCAGTCAAACATACAGTATATAAAATGTCCCATATCCATTGACACCGACCACTAGAAAAAAGGGAAGGAGTTGCATTTTCTCACTTTACCTTCCATAACAGTCAATGTTAAGCTCGATCTATGTTAAATTTTCAGTAATACATTTGAAAGACAGACAGAGAGGGGCAGCTAGGTGGCACAGTGGATAGAGCAATGGCCCTGGATTCAGGAGGACCTGAGCTCAAATCCGGCCTCCGACACATAACACTTATTAGCTGTGTGACTCTGGGCAAGTCACTTAACCCCATTGCCTAGCCAAATAAAAAAAAAAAAAGACAGACAGACGAGAGAAATAAAGACAGAGAGACAGACAGAGACATAGAGACAGAGATGCACAGAAATGGACAGAAAGACCAAGGCAGAGAGACAGAGACCAATAGAGAGTTCCCTGACCTTATTCTCACAATTCTTTCCAAAATCAGACTCAAACTATTTTTATAAAGTAAATTGACTTTTACAAACTCACTCAGCATCCTCAGAAATCCTATGGTTACCATCATCTTAAGTTTTAAAAACCTAATGTTGATTCTACTGGATTTCTTACCTTAGTTTCTTTAGGTCATTAACCCATCTGTCTCCCATTCTTTTCTTGTAATTTACTTCCTCCTCATCCTCAATGATCACTCGAATCTTGTGTTTCACTTCTGCGTCTTGCACAACCACGAAGGACCAAGGCTCTGTGTGCGCCCCACTTGGTGCTGTTCCTTTGAACCAGCAAATTAAAATAAATTAATTAAAACCCAGAAGAGGAATGTGAAGGAAGATTAGAGAGGAATTTTGTTGTTCAGTCATTGCTGTTGTGTCCAACTCTTCATGACCCCGTTTGGGGTTTTCTTGGCAAAGATACTGGAGTGGTTTGCCATTTCCTTCTCCAGCTCATTTTATAGAAAAGGAAACTGAAGCAAACTTGCCCAAGGTTACACAGCCAGCAAGTGTCTGAGGCCAGATTTGAACTCAGGAAGATGAGTCTTCCTCACTTCAGGCCCAGTACTCTATCCATTTTACCACCTAGCTGCTCCAAATATACTTCCCTGACTAGGAATCAAACCTGGGCAGATGGAGTGAAAGTGCCAGATCCTAACCATTAGATCACCAGAGAGGAAAGGAGGTAATAAAATCATGTTCTGAACATCCAAACCAAGCATTATGATCTGAAATACAGAGTGACAGGACAAATTTATGCCTTTCCTTGCTTCTTCAGTCCATTTTACTCAGCACCATTTTCTTTCATTTAACTTCATGTTTAAAGTTTTATTGATGCTTTTTAAAATTTGATGCTTTATTTTTTTTATTGATGCATTTGCATCATGGTCATTTTTAGTTTTCTTCCTCCTCACTTCCACACCCACGTGAACGTGCCATTGGAACAAAGAAAGCACATTAAGCAGCACCCAACCGTTTGACAGCATATATTGACATTCCATACTCCCAGTTTCTCATCTTTCAAATGAATGGAGAGAGATGCAAATCCTCATCTCTTCTCTGGAGCTGATTTATCATTTTAATTACCCGAGTTTGTCTTCTTTTGGGGGTTCTTTTCACTTAACATTATCGAAGTCATTGTGTATATTGTTTTCCTGGTTCTGCTTACTTTACTCCTTATCAGTTCATAAGAGGCTTCCCATGTGTTCTGAATTTCTAAAATCAGCCTCATTTTAAGTGACTCTATGATAACCAGCTGGAAACAATACCACTGCTTCTGGAGATTGCAATGATTCACCACCACCTTTCTAATTATTTAGGGCAAGGTTGCCTGATTTGCTGACATTATCACAGCTCCAAAAGTTCCTTCATTTTGACAGCCAATAAAAAAATAATAAAGTTATAAAGTTCACTGGAGAGGTATAAATTCAATTCAAAGGCAAAGTCAAAAAAAGTGTGCCTCTAAGACTTTGAAGCACATGAAAATCAGATCAATAGCTCAGTAAATCTGTATAGATTTCCTCCTATGTGCAAAGCACTGTGCTATGTGCTGTATGGTATATGACCCCTTCCTTTAGGGAGATTATAATCTAGTTAGGGAGATGACATCAACACAGGAAAGATTAAATAACTGTTACTGCTTTGTACTGGTGCATGAGATACAGTAGGTTAGCTGTATGCAGTGCCTTAGTATCCAGCATTGATGGGCTTCAGTAGGTCACCGGCTCATGACTTTAACCAGCTTGGGAGTTCCCACAGTCACTCTGAAGACTGAAGGTCAGGCCAGAAGACTGCAGGGATGTCCCCATCTCCTCCTATTCCAAGAGTTAATAAGTAGTTGCAGAATGAATAAATACTAAAGAACAGCTAGGGACTAATGTTAAGAACCTGTCTCATAGATGTTCAGAATACCATGCTCAAATAGGAGGTAGGTAATTTTATTCTTGGCAAGACAGCTTAGTTTGAGCAAGAGTTTGCTTTGGAAATGCATATTAGTATAAATGCCATGAATTTCATGGTGTTTTGAATTCCCTTTGTTTCTAAAGTTCTTCACTTTTTTTGTATTCCCAAATATAAAAAGAAAACTATTTTTCTTTTTATTTCAGTAAGGCCCAGTTTCCCTCAAATTTGAAAGACAACTGCATCTGTAGCAAAGAGAAATTCAAGATGTGTCATTTCAAATAGATATATTTTATACTGTGGAGAAAAGCACACTTGGAGTCAAAAAATTAAGGTTTCAGCTCCTGGATCTGCTACTTCCTATGTGGCCACAGACAAGTTTCTGGGCCTTAGTTTCCTTAGCTATAAAATGGGCATAACAAGCCTGATACTACCTGCCTCAGAAGAATACCATGAAAATCAATAAGATAATGTAAGATAAAGTATTTTGAAAGTATAACAACCTCTGTGAATGTGTTTTATAACTTTTAGATCGAAAGATCATCAAGGGTAGGGATTATATTATTTCATCTTTTGCCTTGCACATAGTAGGTACTTAATACTCCTTTTTGAATTGAATTTAATTCAACCCAAGCGCATTTGGCTGGCAGGCCCAGCAGCCTGCAGTATAGCTAGGGTAAGGCATCTGTGTACCCTCAGTAAGGTTTGAAAATTACACCAGGTATCTATGGCCATCCAGAAAACACCTTGAGCCACTACACAATTTTTTTTTTTTGGTGAGGCAATTGGGGGTAAGTGATTTGCCCATAGTCACACAGTTAGTAAGCGTTATGTGTCTGAGGCCGGATTTGATCTCAGATCCTCCTGATTGCAGGGCTGAGGCTCTATCTACTGTGCCACCTAGCTGTCCCTACCACACAATTATATTGAAGGACTCTGACTCCATGCAAAATAAGAACCTATGTGAAAGATCCATCCATTTTAAACTGAAACTAAATTTATGCTTTCTTGTTTGTTTTTTCTTAGAGAGACAATGAATCCAGATATGTGCTAAATTAATCTCTCTAAATGAGAGGTTATATAGTATATATAATTATATCTATATCATTTATATAGGAACAAAACACCATCAGATGAAAAAATAAAAGAAGGACTTTATTAGTAATCTTCCTCTTTCTGTAACTCTCAAATCATTTTCTTTTTTGGACAGACTCTTACACAAAAAAATTAATTTTCTATTTTTAAAAATTATTATTTGTTCATTCATATATGCATATTAACTAATCAGTGTTTTTAATAGAGAATCATGGCATATAGCTGGATAACATTAGTTCCAGGAAGAGAAAAGAAGAAAAAATGACTTCCTGTGTCTCTGGGTCTTTTGGCATTTTTTTTTTAATGAGCACTTGTTGGCTAGGATACTTTGGATTTATCAGAAATCTATGAGTTGTTGCTCCGTCTACACCCAAGGCATGTGAAAGATGTGTGTCGCTTCTTTAGAGATAGTCAAATGGTTGACAATAGAAAGCACAGAATTCCAGAAACAGTGCTTCAGTGGCAGATAAGGATGTGTGCAGCCTTAAAGATGGAGCACTACACTTCATGAGCCAAGTTTGAAAATCACAAATTCTTCAATAAGTCGCATCAGTCATGCAGCCGACGGCCTCGAGAGACCCAGCTGCATAGTCTCATACCTGCCGTTTTGATGATATTGTCAATAACCTGCCTCGGGATGGGCTCATCACTTATGAACCTGACAGACCGCCTCTGATTGAGAAGTTCATAAAATTCCTGGGACCTCTTAATCATTTCATGCTCAGGAAAGCGTGGACTGGAGAATGGGATGTGTTCAAGGTTTTCTTCTGATTCACGGAACTCATCCACATCTGCAAATAAAGGTAGTGACAATAGTAATGAGAATTACATTTATATAATGTCTTACAGCTTACGGAGCTGGTTCGCTTATAGGATCTTATTTTATCCTCACAAAGGGAGAAAGGCAAGCATTATTTTTTCCCATATCACAGATGAGAAAACTGAAGCTGGGAAAAGTTAAATGACTTGTCCTAGGTCATATTGCTAGTGTTGGCCTAGGTGCTATTATCTGAACTTGGCATTCCATTTCCTGATTCTGGTTTTTAATTTTTTTAAATTTTGTTTTTGTTTTTGTTTATTTATTTATTCATTCATCCATTTATTTATTTGTTTGTTTGTTTGTCTGTCTGTTTATTTGCTTGAACTCATGTCTAGAATGTATTCTCTCAGTTCTTTTTCTTAGAGGCTTCCTTCAAGGCTCAACTCAAATGTTACCTCCTACAGGAAGCCTTCACTGAGGCTCCCTAGTTGCTAGTGCTTTTCTCCTCAAATTATGCAGTGCAAAGGATATTGGATTTGATGTCAAAAGACCTGCTATCCTGACAACCCTAACTCTCTTAGCAAGGCTAAAATTTGGAGTTCTTTCAACCAACCATACAATACGGACTTGTCTCTTCACCATCCTAGTGGTCTTCTCCCTCCACCCCATTTCTTTCTTTCTTTCTGTCTCTCTGACTCTGTGTCTCTGTCTCTCTCTTTCTGTCTCTCTTTCTCTGTCTGTCTCTCTGTCTGTCTCTCTCTTTGTTTCTCTCTTTCTCTCTCTCTCTCTCTCTCATCTTTCATTTTAAACTATTTTTATTACTCTTGCTGTCCCCCACAACTGGAATGGTCTCCCTCCTCATCTCGGCCTGCTGGCTTCCTTCAAGTTTCAGCTAAAAGCCCACCTTCTACAGAAAGCCTTTCCCAACCCCTCTTTAATTCTGATGCCTTCCCTCTGTTGTCCATTTCCAATTTATCCTGTCTACGGCTTGTTTGTACGTAACTGCCTGCATGTTGTCTCTTCCGTTACACTGTGGGCTCCTTGAGGGCAGGTACTGTCTTCTGTCCTTTCTTACATTCCCAGCACTTAACACAGCGCTTGGCACATAGTAGGTACTTAAATAATATTTATTAACTGAGTTATTGACTTAAACTGTGGTGTTCACAACTGAACACAACACTCCAGATATGGTCTGACCAGAGGAGAGTACAGAGAAACTAGTGCCTTATCACACCTAGAAGTTATGATTTCTAGGAATAATAATATTAGTAATATTAATACTAATACTAACATTATTTCTGCCTTCGCCATTCCTTGTCTAGGTTATCTCTGGAAGTTGAGACTTGGACCCCAAGTGTAAGACTCTATTTATCTCTATTGAAATTCCTTTTCTTGGATTTAGCTCAAAGTTATAGCCTGCCAAAGATTGCTTAGTTCCTGACTCTAATTTTTTTTAAAATTGTTTTTATTAATTTATTTTGATTTATCAATAATCACTTCCATATGCTTTTAAGTTTAAAATTTTTCTTCCCCTTCCTCCCCCCCAACCCTCCCCAAGACGGCGCACAATCTGATATATGCTATACATTTACATTCCTATTAAACATATTTTCCCATTAGTGAAGTTGTAAGTACAAATTGTCATTAGTATTTTGCTTTTGACCACCACCTCCCTCAGTCTCTCCCTCCCTTTCCCTTTTCTTCCCCTTTAGCCTTACTGCTTCTTCCCTCCCTTTTATTCCTGCCTCCCTTTTCTTTCCTCTTTTCCCTCCTACTGCCTATAGGGCAAGTTAGATTTCTATACCTGATTATGTTATTCCCTTCTTTTTTTTTTAAATATAAATTTATTTATTTTTAATTTTCAACATTTACTTCCACAACATTTTGAGTTCCAAATTTTCACCGGATCTCACCCCTCCCCCCACACCAAGATGGCATACATTCTGAATACCCTTTCCCCTAGTCTGCCTTCTCTTCTATCTCTCCCCCCTTCTCTTATCCCCTTCCCCTTCTATTTTCCTGTGGAGCAGGGTAGACTTCTGTACCCCATTTCCTCTATTTCTTATTTCCCAGTTGGACATGAAAACATTTTTTTTAAACATGTGTTTTTAAAACTTTGGGTTCCAAATTTTCTCTTCCTCCCTCCCCACCCACGCTCATTGAAAAGGCAAGCAACTCAGTATAGGTTATACATGTGCAGTTATGCAAAACACTTCCATAGTAGACATGTTGTGAAAAACTGACTCTATTTCCCTTAATCCTATCCTGACACCACCATTTATTCTATTCTTTCTTTTGACCCTGTCCCTCCTCAGAAGTATTTGCTTCTGATTACCCCTTTCCCAATCTGCCCTCCTCTCTATCATTCCCCTGCTCTCTTCCCCTTCCCCCCTCCCATTTTCCTGTAGGGTAAGACAGATTTCCATACCCAATTCAATGTGTATGTTATTCCTCCTTAAGCCAAATCCTATGAGAATAAGATTCACTCATTCCCTCTCACCTTCCCCTGTTTCCCTCCACTGTAAGAGATTTCTTTTCTTTTTTTTGTGAGTAATTTACCCCATTCTACCTCTCCTTTCTTCTTCTCCTAGTATAATCCTCTCTCATCCCTTAATTTTATTCTCCAGATATGCCCCTTAATCTTCAACTCACCCTGTGCCCTCTATCTATCTATCTATATCTACATATAATTTTTTCCTCCAACTACCCTAATACTGACAAAGGTCTCATGAGTTATAAATATCATCTTTCCATGCAGGAATGTAAACAGTTCAACCTTAATAAGTCTCTTATGATTTCTCTTTCCTGTTTACCTCTTCATGTTCCACTTGAGTCTGTATTTGAAAGTCAAATTTTCTATTCAGCTCTGGTCTTTTCATCAAGAATGCTTGAAAGTCCTCTATTTCACTGAATGATCATTTTTTCCCCTGAAGGATTATACTCAGTTTTGCTGGGTAGGTGATTCTTGGTTGTAATCCTATCTCCTTTGCCCTCTGGAATATTATATTCCATGCCCTGCGGTCCTTTAATGTAGAAGCTGCTAAATCTCATGTTATCCTGATTGTGTTTCCACAATACTTGAATTGTTTCTTTCTGGCAGCTTGTAATATTTTCTCCTTGACCTGGGAACTCTGGAATTTGGCTACAATATTCCTAGGAGTTTTCCTTTGGGATCTCTTTCAGGAGGAGATTGTGGATTCTTTCAATTTCTATTTTGCCCTCTGGTTCTAAAATATCAGGGCAGTTTTCCTTGATAATTTCTTGAAAGATGATGTCTAGGCTCTTTTTTTGATCATGGCTTTCAGATAGTCCAATAATTTTTAAATTCTCTCTCCTGGATCTATTTTCCAATGAGATATTTCACATTGTCTTCTATTTTCTCATTCTTTTGGATTTGTTTTACAGTGTCTTGATTTCTCATGAAGTCAGTAGCTTCCAATTGCTCTATTCTAATTTTTAAGGAAGTATTTTCTTCAGTAATCTTTTGGACTTCCTTTTCCATTTGGCCAATTTTTCTTTTTAGGGCATTCTTCTCCTCATTGGCTTTTTGGACCTCTTTTGCCATTTGGGTTAGGCTATTTTTTAAGGTGTTATTTTCTTCAGTATTTTTTTGGGTCTCCTTTAGCAAGCTGTTGACTTGTTTTTCATGATTTTCTTGCATCACTCTCATTTCTCTTCCCAGTTTTTCCTCTACTTCTCTTACTTGCTTCTCAAAATCCCTTTTGAGCTCTTCCAAGGCCCGGGACTGATTCATATTATTCTTGGAGGCTTTGGATGTAGGAGCTTTGACTGTGTTGTCTCCTTCTGATTGTATGTTTTGATCTTCTTTGTCACCAAAGTAAGATAATGTAGTGTGACTCTTTTTGTGCTGCTTGCTCATGATCCCAGCCAATTACTTGAGTTTTAAACTCTTTGTTAAGGTAAGAGTCTGCTTCCAATGTGGAGAATGTACTGTCCCAAGCTGTTTATACAGCTGTTTTCAGAGATACTTGTAGGGACCTGTAAATTTTTAGTTCTTGCAAGGTGGTATGATAAGGGGTGAGGTGTTTTCTCCTTTCCTGGCCTGTGCTCTGGTCTGTTAGTGACCACAAGTACTCCTTTCTGTCCTGGACCTGTGAGGAAGGTTTTTTCTCCACACCCACTAGAAGCTCCACCATGCCAGCACTCCTTCTTGTCCTAGGACCGCCATCCAGAACTGTGACCCAGATCCAAGCACGGGCAAAGCAAAAGATTCCTGCCTTAGCACTGGCAAAGAGATCCCTGCAATCCCCCTCTGATCAGCCACTCGATTCCCCCTCAGTCTGTGGGCCGGAAGCTTAGGACGCACCTACCACCGCAGGGCAGCTCTGCGCTCTGGAACTGGCTCTGAGACATAGCTCCTCTCTCACTGCAGAAATAGACTTTTCCCACTGACCTTCTAAGTTGTCTTTGGCGTTCATGGATTAAGAAGTCTGGAAACCACCACAGCTGCCCACAATTCAGTTCTCTGAGGCCTGCTCTAGGTTTGCTGTGGCTTGCGCCCCCATACCTCACTGCGCTCTACTCCCTTACTGGCGCAGTATACCTTTCCAATCAGTCATCCAGATTGTCTTGGGCTGGAAATTTGCTTCACTCTGTCTTTTTGTGGGTTCTGCTGCTTTAGAATTTGTTTAGAGCCATTTTTATAGGTATTTGGAGGGGTTTGGGGGAGAGCTCAAGCAAGTCACTGCTTTCACTCTGCCATCTGGGCTCCACCCCCTGACTCTAATTTAGAGCCAGTATATTAACCATCCCTCCCAGCTTTGTGTCATCTGCAAATTTGATAAACATGCCATCTCTGCCTTATGCCAACCCTTTGCCACCAAGCCAAAGGAGGTGATTTTTAACTATAAGACATTCAAATCTGTAGTACTAGGGGAAAAAAAAAACTCCTGAAAGAGTTGATGAGACCCTTAGTTTTGATAAGACAAGCAAACAAAAGAAAGCAAAAATACAAACAAAATCAGTCATATTATAACATTTCCAAGAAGCAATTAACTGACTTCTGTGATA